TTGTCTTACCCTCCATAGCCTGCATTCATGTCCATCACATTCCTCACATTTGACCAATTTATACCAAGGCTCCCTAAGTACACATCTGTAACCAGTGCCCAGTGTTTTGTATCCGCATTGAATATTTCTTCAGTGTCTGTTTCAAGGGATAGACTTAGAGGTTTGTTGTTGAGCCTTTGGGGCCAGGGTGCAGGCCACTCGTAGCTACTTGTGGCGAGTGGTAGAAGGCAGCTGTCCAGTGGCGTGTACCTGTATATTGGATGTGAAATACAAGATTAAGGAAATAATGTGATTAGAACAAGNCAATGTGATAATCTTCATCAAATTGTTTCAAGCGTACCATGAACTATTCAGCCTATGGTTCTGGTTGCACATAGGGGGATTATTTTCTTTAGGATTCTCATAGCAGGAAGATGAATCTGGCTTTTGATATATAACTAGCCCGACTCTAGCTCTTTTAAAGTAGGTCTTTGCCACCATCTTCCAGCACATTGCTTCGGTCAGATTAACCATAACTGCAAAGAACAAGACAGAAAATCATGCTACCAAGCATAACAAATACAGAGTAACTCAGTTCCAGCTTAACTTCACCATTACAACTTCTGTATTTCTTTCCTTTAAGCTTGCCTCTTGCAGTCATTTTCTACATAATTCACTGACAACAAACAGACAGAACATAGAAAAAACTAAGTATCAATGAGCGAGAACCTTTCCAGACATTCTTATGTCCTTCATCCTTCTTATAAACTGGAGTTGCAGACCATATGAAGTACCCTCCTGGCCTAAGAATCCTGTTGAGCTCCATCAATGGTTTTCCTCCTGCAGTTTTCAATTAGTTACGATGTTGACAATGTAGGTGGTAGAAGGACTTCGAAATTTGAGAATAGTCATTTACCATCTGCGTGCCAGTGAACCCTGCATCTTGCACAATGAATCATATCGTATGCATTATCTGGAAATGCAAGCTTTTTAGTTGCAATGACTGAGAGAGTAGCAGGGATTCCA